GGGTCCTTAAGAAGGCCTCTCTCACCCTGCGGGGAGCCCTCGCAGCATACCTGATCCTCTTCCAGAGCGTGCAGGTAGCATGAAGGGGAAGAGTAACAGGTATTTCAGAGTGCTCCTGTTCTCTTTGAAGTGCTGTTCCCCTGTAATACTACGTATGCTTGGCTTCAAGGCTACGTGAGGGTCCTGCAGCGGTTGCGAGGACAATGCACTGGTATACCTGCCGCAGTGCCGTCAGGGACGGGCTACCACGGCCTCACTGGGGGACCCGCGGCTGATGCTGGGAAAGGCACTGGCCTCCGTGGCAAGAGCAGGTCACTGTGGCCAAATGTGTTTTCTCTCAAGTCAAGAACTCTGTCTGAGTTAGTTTTTAAAACCACTGAAGTTTTGATGCCTAAATGTTTGAAATAGAGTTGATTCTGGCAAATACTTGGTTTAAGCTTGTAGGAAAGCATGTTTTCCTTTATTGCAGGGGGAGGGAATAAAAAAGTTTAGATGCATTTGTTCCCGTGTGGGTCAAGGTGAAGACTCTCAGTGAGGCAGTAGGTGCAGGGATAAGTCTTATAGCTGGAATATTTGGCTGAGCAAAGGCATTTCTTGGCACGCCACCCCTCATGTTTTTGGGTCTTTGTTCGTGTTTCTCTTCCAGCTTGCTTTATATACCAAACTTGCATGTAAACAGTGATGATAAGTGCCTCAGTGCATTTTAAAGGGGCTGAAAATGCCTCTCGGACACTGACGGCTTCTTACGTGAACTGCTGATCCCTAGTTGAACAAAATGAAGTGAACCTAGTTCATACACCCCTTACAACACAGTATCAAACTCCCCTCCAGGAGTTGTACGGCATTTGGCATAGGCTGCAATGCCGTTAAAACACACAAAATATTTTTAAAGACTACATGTGAATTTACAGTTTACACTCACTTGCGTTTCCTTACGACTTGCCTCTGTGCTGGTGGGGATCTGTGATGATCTGGGAGGAATCTGCAGGTTGGATGTTACTCTGCGGTGGATTCTGTTTGACAAGCCAGGTGCTAAGGAACTGCAGGGTGAACTTGGACTAAAGCGATGAAAGGTTACTGGTTACCACCTGAAATTACTGAATAGTTGAAGCATTTTTTTTTTTTTTTAGGAGCCTTAGGGTAGCAGGAGGTGGCTGTGTTCCATGTGTGCTGAAAGAGAATTATTTCAGAATACCTTCAAATTTGTAATTATTTCACAGTGCAAATGTTTTTATCGTCGCAGTCAGCCGGAAAGAAACAAAACCAGCTATAGCAAAATTTTACTCACGGAGGAAGACGAATCAGTGTGGTTTGATCTACCCTTTGACACCTTCCATCCTTTGTGCCATCTTTGATGTTGAAATAATTGTTTAATAATTAATACTGAGGTGGAAATTAAGAAGCCAAAATGTTATTTTCTACTGGTAGGATCCTTTACAAGTAGTGTTTTCCACATTTTGTATGTTCAGTCTTTGGAACTCATGATTTTTCCAAAGTTGTCATTCTCATTATGTTTTTGCTGCTGCTTTCCAATGGACACTGGCTTTGCTGTTCTGCAAAGAGCCCCTCTAAAAGAATCATTTCAAAGTGACACTCAAATGACGTGAGGAGGGAGTTGTAAGTTGACCTCCACACACTGTGTAAAGCAAACTTAGGTTGGGTGAACAACCTTCCTTCCCCTGGACTTTCTGTCTATGGAAGATGAGACCTGAAATTTTGTGATTCTTAAGTGTGTATGAATTCAAATAATTCAAATGTAAGAATACTTTATTTCAACTTCTGAAGTTCTAAATTTCAGTGCATTGGCCAAGCTAAAGTAATAAAAATGAAGCAATTTTCTCAGAATATTTTGGTGAAGACGATAGCACTTTAATTAAGTGTTATAGACTAATAAAACAATGTGGTAATTTTTTAACTCGATTTCTTTTCTCCCCTCAGACCTAATTTAATACAGGGCTAGGGGTATCTCCCGCGAGTGGCTAATACCCCTCTTATAAGTAATGCTTTCTTCATACCCTCATTTTCATAACTAAGTTTCATTAACGAAAATGCTATAAATAATTAAAGTGAAATATGTCAGGGCTAAGCGCGGGGGAGCTGTGGCCAAGTAAACAAAGGGACTCTGAAGCTTTGGATTTATATGTGCCTGAACTGCTGCATACAGCCTTCTTGTCTAAGTTTGGCTCTTAAAGCTGTTTTGAACTTTCAGACAGGAAACACTGTAGAAAGTTGAGTTAAAATGGGACCTACATTTTAAAAAAAAATCTGTCTGCAAAGCTTGCTTTTTTTTTTACACGGTGCCGAAGAAGCTGTTGCTTGTTCAAGTCTACGATCGTATTAAATGCAAGAAGTTACCCTGCTGGTTCGTTTTATGATTTACTGAGTTTTAGGTTAAATCTTTGAATATAAGACAGTGTAGGTTATAAACTTGGCAGGTTTAGATTATGGGTCAAATAAATGTGGTGTTACTCTGAATTGTTTCATCCAATACATAGTACGTAGTCTAAACTGTATTTGTATTTGCTGTTGAGCATTTTTTACCTTCTGGTACAGCCACAAATTCCAGTGGCTGCCATCCTTTGTATATCCAGGGAGTTTTTTCTGAGGCTGCCCCCCAGTTTGGTTTTTAATAGCTAATTTCAGAGATTAATTTGGATACTCTTATAGCTAAACTTCGTGCTCATACGGACTTCTGAATTTGTGATGGGGTGTGATACTCTTTTTTTTATCATAACAAATTAGTCAGAATATGAAAATGCTTCATTCAAGAAAGGAAATGGCATTTGTAACATGTCTCTCAGATAACGTCAGCTCTCGAAGGAAAAGTTAGCTTGGGTAGGTGCTGTTGATAACTCTTTACTTGCTGAACAGAAAACAGATACACAGGAATCAAACCCAGAAATGAATGGTCTTGTAGCAAATAAGAGGGCTAGATTAATTTGAAAGTAATGAAACTATTGTGTCGTGTATCTGAGATGAGCACTGCATCAGTTTTACCTTGCTTTTTGTTCGGCCCCTGCTGGTGTTGCGGTTAGGCTGTATAGTTATTTACATGCTGGAGACACCCCAGAGGGGAATACAGTGAGGAACCTCAACACTTGCAACTGTAGATTTTATTTACAGAGTCATAGATGGCAAGTGACGGATGTGGGAATATATAATCCTGTTACGGCTCTGCATATTTTAGCTAAGTTCTAAGAATCTGATATTTTCCTAATGTAGTAATAGATTTGCTTTCTTTATTAGAGAATACAGTATTCTTTGATCTTAGTCATGTGGTGTTTGTAGTATTTAATGAGCATAAGGAGGGGGGATGATTTTTGTTTTACAGTGTGGTAACTAGAAAATAAACGATCTGTGGGGATCTTAACCATTGGTTTTGCCATATACAAGGTGGAAGATTGCTGGTGTGTTGCATCTTGCATTGCTGAGGCAGATACTGACCCTTTAATGACACTTAATGACAAGATACAAAAGCTTTTAAACTTTTATTAATCTGTTTTGTTAATCAGAGTTGAAGCTTGGTTTGTTTGTTTGTTTGTTTGTTTGTGGTTTAGATTCTGTTTCATTGAGGTGGGTGGTGGTGTGGTTTCCTGTATGTCTTGTTGACATAAATCATTCACTTTTAAGATCATTTGATACCTACACATATTACCACTTTGCTTTGTTAGATTGAGACTAAATATTACACTTCAAGGGTGTGTGGTTTTTTTTGTTTTTTTTTTTTTTTTTT